CCCCAAAACCCCAAAACCCCAAAACCCCAAAACCCCAAATTTAAGCGTAGATATGGAAACTTGGCAATAATTATAAAATGAAACCTCAGCACTTCAGTACTATTAGAGGAAATTTATCTCCAAGTAGATGGGATATGGAAGAAAGTGATAGAGACATGAGTAGACAGAAGAAAGCAGTAGAGGACGATGATACTGCAGATAAGACAATATCTCACGCTTGGCCTATTACTATAGACAAGATAAGAACATGCAATAGGAAAAGTTTCATTGATAGAGATAATCCTCTGAGAAACATCGTCGAAGGTCCTTTCTCTCCTCAAGAAGGTAAGGATTTTGAAGTATTACTCAAGATTGAGTTTGATAAACCACTTCTAGCTTCTCTTTGTCCCAAAGATTTTACACATTTTAGAATCGAATTATGATAAGCACTTAATAACTCATTGTAGAGAAGAAAGTTAAAGGCAAACAAAATTATTTCAGAAAGCCTCAGGCAATCAAAAGAATTCTAGAAAGATTCTTGCCTGTTGGTTCCGAAAGAGCTAGATTACCTGCTCAGAGGCGGAGACATTTATGGAATAGAATCAAAAGCGCGAGTCCAAGGTAAACCGACATTTGAACCTTTGAATAGAGATCCAGCCCAAACCTCAAAATCGAAAACTCTCAGAATTGCTGATCCTTGAGATAAAAAGGAAGACTCAACTGCAGTGTACAAGAGCATTTGAAAGATCTTGTGAGAGTACGATTTCTTGTATTTTCATATCTAACTTTTCATTTTTAGAATCTTAGCTATACTAAATTTAACCACTGACTCCTCTGTGTGATCCAAGGATCTTCTCTTACTTCGCTCTCAACTTAAATCCAAGATTTCATCTCTTAGTCTTTACCCAGCTGATATTGTATCCAAGCTGAGCCCCGACAAGTTCTGCTGCCTAACAGTCTTGGTGGCCAAAGCATTTGACAATATAACCTCTGCTATGTCTTGGAGGCGTACTCCCTTCGCCAAGTTCTTTACAGAACTTTGAGAAGATTCTGGATGAGCCAACCAAACTAGAGTCGGCACTATGTGCACTAAGGCACATAATAGCCAAGATTTGAGGAGAATGGATGACCCTCTTGATATGAAGAAGGTTTACGATAATGTAAGTGCACAACAAAGCTGGATATCATTGCTCTTGTATGTCAATGATTCTCCTAGTTTCAGTTGATGATACTCAATATTTTCGAATCTTTATAATCACTCTATTCTTTACCTTCAGCTCTGAATAATTTAGTACCTAAATCCCTAGTAAGAGCAATGGAATTGAGTCAAACTTGACTTTAACGAATTAAAACATTATAATTCCTTATAAATTTTGATCTTCGAGTAAAATACTAGCATAAGAGCTCCTCTGGTACTACCAATGATGTTTGAAGCTCAACTTGAAGAAGCCTTTCAGATCGTCTTTCTGGTATATCTTCTTAAAGCAGTTCATAATCCCTGTGTTATCTTTGTTTGTTTCCCAAGTTTGCATCAAAAGTCTTACTCTGGCGACATAGAGTGGGTATGACACCAAATACGCAAGTGTTGTGGTTTACTGAGCCTAGATCAACATTTTGAGCAAACTGTCTTGCTTATCAGAAGTAAACAACAAAGCATATCCTGTATCGTAGAGACCAAAGTAAGCTCCTCTATAGCAGGCAGTGGCTAGCAATGAGATAGGGAGCTCTTGATATAACCTGAATTGGTTATCCAATTTCAAGATTTTGATAAAAATGCCAGCCAAACCTTTGAATTCTTTTGATTTTCCTTTCCCAGCATCAACAGGAATTATTTTTCTTTCAAATTCAAGAAAGTAGACTACAAATAAAGATATAGCTCCAGCTGCACTTCCAGAGAGAACATTGCTCATAAAGAACTTGACTGGGCTCTCCTTCTTATTATTTGGGTTGAAGTATTGCTTAAATTTCTCATTACAAGAAAAATTAAGAGCTTGTATGGGGATGTACCTTAACACATTGACCAGATTGCCTTTCCAGAGATACCTGAAGCCTTGATCCTTTGCTACCTTCACAAAGGAATCAATGATGCCTTCATATTTCACATGGTTTGGGAGGTTTTTAGTATTGGCCTGCATCTGTAGAATTATCTTTAATCTTTCAATAGGAGCCACGCATGTCTTTGAAATAGCTGCTGACGCTCCTCCGACCAGAAAGTCATTTATCATTTTCCTGCCAGATTTCGAGGGTTGATTAGATTTAGTCATTTATATCTTAAATTAAAAATTTGTTGATATAATTTAAGTTTTTTAGTCTAAATTTTATAAACTTAATAACAACGAATCATTTCAGCCCACAAAACTCTCAAAAGGGGTTCTGTGTCTTGTATCTTTGCTCATACTTTTCGTAGTTTACAAAGAGGCTAGCAAAAGCTCAAGAACACATTGCTGTAGCACGAAAGAGGTCTGCTAAATATCAACACCTTCTGAAAAGCATCACAGAAGTCAGCTTAAAGAAGTAAGCTAATATTGCTCATTGAGTAGGACTGATCAACTAAAGTTATTAGAGCAGAAAATTGAAGAGAGGCAGATCCTCATTGATTCCCAAAGAGAGCTTCTAGATAAGAGGTTAAGTAGAGATGTGGAAGAAAAGAAAGCTCATGCTCAAGAAATTTTCAGTAAGGTTCCTAAATTTATGCTGTAGACAAGTTAGACGAAGAAGATTTTCAGAAGACTAAGCTTGTCTCCAACTTGCCATCTCAAGCAAAGAAGCAAAGATTGAGTCACTGTAATCACTGCTGTATTAGAGATAACCAAAAATGTAAGTCTCAGTCTTCAAAGCTTTAGGATTCTTAGAGGAATATTTTCATAAATATTACGGTTTACTTAGTACACTTGAGAAGTTATTAATTTGCCCAATAAATATGGAAGTAGTAAGGGAGCCAGCGATCACTCCTTCAGGTAACCTTGTTGAAGCTTCAGTAATTGAGAGGTTGATACTCGAAAAGAAGCCGGATCCCTTCAACAGGACCCTCCCTATCAGACACCTCACGATCAACAGGTTCGCAACAGAGGTGCTCAAGCTAGTAAAATCCTAGTCTTCAACAGAAATTCATATCCCAGGGGTTTTGGGGTTTTGGGGTTTTGGGGTTTTGGGGTTTTGGGG